TAAAAGGGTAGCAAGAGTTTTGGGGGAAAGGACTGTAGGGAAAGCTAAGGGATCACAAGTCACTGAGTCTGGGTTCAGGAGGCTCTTCACAAGAAATGAAGGGGAAGTAGGGCAGTGAGCGGGGAGGACTTTGGGGTAAAATTTGCGTGTAAGTGGGCCCCGTCCAACATTGGGGCAAAAAGAAATGGAACCCGCAATCAAACGTAAAAATTCACGCAGTGAGGAAAAACACAACAAAATATCGTGACTGGAACAATACACAAAAAACCCGCACAAGGGGAAAACCTTATAAAGACATTTTGGGCCTCTTGGGAAAATTAAACAAGGGGCCAGTTTTTTTAGGAAGGTTTTGGGACGGACAGTTTCGCCTCCTATTTTGCCCAAAGGGCTTACCAACGCGATGACCTTGTTTGGGGCTACATTCACCGCTCCTTTTAAGAAGTCATAAAATATTTGGTTGATTTTTGACAGAAAGAAGGCAAAAACCTACTTTATACAGCGCATGGGTTGGTGAGATTCACTTGTAAAAGGGGAGCACCACCCTTTACGTGGCGATTTTTTATGGTGACTGTGGTAAAAAATGTGAAAAATAGCCCACATAATTTTAAATCGTGGGGGGGCGCTAAAACCCCTAGGATTTTGCAACAAAAAGCCGACAGCTTCTTGTGTAGGTTTGGGGTTTCGAAGTTTTTCAGGAAACAGGACAATTTTCCTGACGCGGGTCTTAGTGACCTTTTTGCTTTTGGTCATTGACCGAGGCCTTCCATGGCTTACCCGGTCCACCCCTTAAAAATTATGGTCCAAAAAATTTTAAAATATTATAAACAAAAAAAAGCGCTAAGCCCTATAATTATTTTATAAACAAAAGAGCTAAGCCAATAACATTTTAATTTTTTTGTGTGTAACTTGGGGCAATTTTAATCAAGGGGGGAAGCCTTTAAAAAACCCAAAGGGGTTTTACAGCGCCTGTGGGGGGTAGGAAGGCATTTTAGGTTTAATTCAGGGGAATGGGGCCAGATCCAATTCCCCAGATCAAGAGCCCCTAACCGATCTTGGGACAAACCCGGGGAAAGGGTCGTACAACTCCCGGCCAGTGCCAAGAACCCGGGGGGAACTGACTCAAAACGATTAAACCCCAATGGGGTATTTCACCCAGGAGTTTTTTTGGCTCATTCGCCCGAGTTCAAAACCCCAACTGTTCCGTATTTGCAGTCGTGTTACGATTTCGCGGGGCATGGACAAACATCCCACACGAAAAACCCAAAATTTTGGGGTTATTCCCAAATAAATATAGTCATCCAACACCCAGTGGTACTTGGGTCCACCCTCCAACAGCTGTGGACGAGGATCCTCCTCCAATACCTGTGGACTAGGATCCAACCCTCCTACACAGTGGACTAAAGGTCCATCCAACACCAGCGGGACTAAGGTCACCCTCAAACACCAGTGGAATAGGATAAGATAAGAATTTCGTTCGGATTTTTTTTTTATCCCGGAGGGTTAGCCACCCAGGATATAACCCAAAGATAGGTTCTGTGCGTCCCTAAAATCGATGACTGTCGTAACTTATTTCCATTGGGGTCCTTAATCTTGTCCCCCAGGATGCGACCCACACCAGTCGACTAACACCCAGGTACCTATTTGCTGCTAGGTGAACAGGACAATAGGTGTAAGGAAACGTGTCGGAATTTCCACCCGCCGGGAATCGAACCCAGGCCCTCCGTGTGTGAAGCGGGAGTTTTAGCCACCAGGCCACACTCCAAAAACCTGTGACTAGGATCCACCCTCCAAAAAGTTGGACTAGGGTCCACCATCCAACACCAGTGGACTAGGATCCACCCTCCAATACCAGTGGACTAGGGTCCATCCTCCAACACCAGTTGACTAGGATCCACCCTCCAATACCAGTGGACTAGGGTCTCTCTCCAACACCAGTGGACTAGGGTCCATCTTCTAACACTAGTGGACTAATTTAGACCCTCCAACACCAGTGGACTAGCCAATAGACTAGCATCCATCCTACAACACCAGTGGACTAGGATCCACCCTCCAATACCAGTGGACTAGGGTCCACTCTCCAGCACCAGTGGACTAGGGTTCATCCTCCAACACCTAGTTACCACCCTCCAACAACCTTGGACTAAGGTCCATCCTCCAACACCTGTGGACTAGGGTCCATCCTCCAACACCAGTGGACTAGGGTCCATCCTCAAACACCAGTGGACTGTAGTCCACGCTCGGACAGTTGTGTACTTGGGGTCCACGCTCGCACAGGTGTGGACTTGGGTTCACACTCGAGGAGCCGTGGATTTGGGTCCACGCTCGGACAGCTGTGGACTTGGGTCCACGCTCGGACAGCTGTGGACTTGGGTCCACGCTCGGACAGCTGTGGATTGGGGCCTGCTCGGAGACAGCTGTGGACTTGGGGTCCAGCTCGGACAGCTGTGGACTTGGGTCCACGCTCGGACAGTGTGGACCCCCCCCCCCCTGGGGTCCCGGTCGGACAGCTGTGACTAGGGTCCACCGCTCGGACAGCTGTGGACTTGGGTCACGCTCGGTAAGCTGTGAAACTTGGGGTCCACGCTCGGGACAGCTGTGGGGACTTGGGTCCACGCTCGGTCAGCTGTGGACTTGGGTTCCACGCTCGGAGCTGTGGACTTGGGTCCAAGCTCTCGGACAGCTGGGGACTGGGGTCCAGCGCGACAAGCATGTGGGACTTGGGTCCCGCTCGGGACAGGTGTGGACTTGGGTCCCACGTTCGGACTGCTGTGGACTTGGGTCACGCTCGGACAGCTGTGGACTTGGCGTCCACGCTCGGACAGCTGTGGTACTTGGGTCTCCACGCTCGTGACGGCTGTGGACTTGGGTCCCACGCTCGGACAGCTGTGGACTTGGGTCCACGCTCGGACAGCTGTGGACTTGGGTCTCCACGCTTCGGCCAGCTGTGGGACTTGGGTCCACGTCGGACAGCTGTGGACTTGGCCTCCACGACCAAACAGCTATGGACTTGAGGTCTTCGCTAGGATAGCTATGGGATCTCGCCTCGCTAGACTGCTTCGGACTTGGCCCTCGCTAGGATAGCTGAGGACTTGCGCCCTCGCTAGGATAGCTTTGGACTTGCGCCCTACCGCTAAGGTTAGCTGTGGGACTTGGGCCCCCGCTAGGATAGCTGTGGAATTCGGGTCCACACTCGGACAGCCGGGATTTGGATCGGGTCACGCTCGGTGAGCTGTGGACTTGCGCCCTCGCTAAGATAGCCTGTGGGACTTGCGCACTCCGCTAGGATAGCTTTGGATTGCCGGGGGCGCCCTCGTTGGATTATAGCATTGACTTCGGCCCACGCTAGGATTTAGCTTTGGACTTGGGGTTTCACGCTCGGACTGCCGTGGATTTGTGTCCCACGTCGGACAGGTGTGGATTGGGTCCACGGTCGGACAGCTGTGGACTTGGGTCCACTCTCAGACAGCCGTGGGGACTTGGGTCCACACTCGGATAGCTGTGACTTGGTCCACCGCTCGGAAAGCCTGTGGATTTGGAGTCCACGCTCGGATAGCTGTGGCTTGGGTCACGGTAGGACAGCTGTGGACTGGGTCCACGTTCGGACAGCGGTGGTCTTGGGTCCACGGATCGGACAGCTTGGACTTGGGTCCACGCTCGGACAGTGTGGACTTTGGGTCCCACGCTCGGACAGTGGTGGACTTGGGTCCACGCTCGGACCGCTGATGGTCTTGTGTCCACGACTCGGACAGCTGTGGACTTGGGTCCATGCTCGGCAGTGTGGACTTGGGTCCACGCCAAACAGCTATGGACTTGGGTCTTCGCTTGGACAGCTATGGACTTGCGCCCTCGTAGGACAGCTTTGGACTTGCGCCCTCGACTAGGGATGCTGGGGAACTTGCGCCCCCTCGTAAGATAGCTTTGGACTTGCGCCTCGCTATAGGGTAGCTGGGTCTTGGGCCCCCGCTAGGATAGCTGTGGGAATCGGTCCAATCTCGGGATCCGCCGTGGGATTTGGGTCCACGCTCGGAAGAGTGTGGACTTGCGCCCTCATAAGATAGCTGTGGACTTGCGCCCTCGCTAGGATTAGCTTTGGCTTGCGCCCTCGCTAGGTTAGCTTTGGACTGGGTCCACGGTCGGGACAGCTGTGGACTTGGCGTCATCTCTCAGGACAGCCGTGGACTTGGGTCCACGCGCGGAAATCTGTGGGATCTTCGGTCCTCGCTCGGACAGCCGTGGATTCTGTCCACGATCGGCAACTGTGGGATTGGTTCCAGCCCTCAACACCAGTGGACTTAGGGTCCTTCCTTCCACACAAATAGAGTAGGGTCTAGCCTCCAACTCCAGTGGACTGGGATGCATCTCCTTCCAACACTAGACTTAGGTTCACCTCCAACGCCAGCGGACTATGGATCCACCTCAAGAAAGGGTGGTCTTGGGCTCCACCCTCCATAAGGGGACTAGGGGCCATCGTCTAACACCAGTGGACTAGGATCACCCTCAAAACCAGTTACTTAGGGTCCATTCTCCAGAAGGGAACTAGGATATACCCCAAAACCAGTGGACTACGGTCCACCCCTCAACCACCAGTTAGACTAGGGTCCATCCACCAAAAAACAAGTGGACTTTGGGTCCATTTACCAGAAGGCAACTAGGATAAACCCCCCAAAACCAGTGGACTAGGATCCACACTCCAAAACCAGTGGACTAGGGTCCATTCTCAAGAAGGAAACAAGGATAAAACCCCCAAAACCAGTTCACTAGGGTCCACCCTCCAATAACGTGGACTAGGATCCACCCTGCAACACCAGTGGACTAGGATCCACCCTCCAACACCAGTGGACTAAGGTCCATCCTCCAACACCAGTGGACTAGGGTCCACCCTCCAACCCCAGTGGACTAGGATCCATCCTCAAAAACGTGTGGACTAGGGTCCACCCTCCATAAGGGGACTAGGGTCCATCGTCTAACACCAGTGGACTAGGATCCACCCTCCAAAACCAGTCTACTAGGGTCCATTCTCCAGAGGGGAACTAGGATAAACCCCCCAAAACCAGTGGACTAGGATCCACACTCCAAAACCAGTGGACCAGGGTCCATTCTCCAGAAGGAAACTAGGATAAAACCCCCAAAACCAGTTCACTAGGGTCCACCCTCCAATAACGTGGACTAGGATCCACCCTGCAACACCAGTGGACTAGGATCCATCCTCCAACACCAGTGGACTAGGGTCCATCCACCAACACCAGTGGACTAGGATCCACCCTCCAACACCAGTGGACTAGGATTCATCCTCCAACACCAGTGGACTAGGGTCCATCCTCCAACATAAGGGGACTAGGATCCACCCTCCAAAAAAGTGGACTAGGATCAACCCTGCAACACCAGTTAACTATGATCCTTCCTCCAACACCAGTGGACTAGGGTCCACCCTCAAAAAAAAAATAGGACTACGGAGTCTACCCTCTAAAACCTTGTGGGTCTAGGTCCACCCTCCTCCAATATAAGGGGTCAAGGGTCCTCCTCCAACACCCAGTGCACTAGGGTCCTACCCTCAAAAAAAAATGTGGACTAGGATCACCCTCCAACACATGTGGACTAAGTACATCCTCAAAACACCAGTGGACTAGGGTCCCACCCTCCAACTGATGTGGACTAGGATCTCCCTCCAAAACCTGTGGACTAGGATCCACACTCCAACACAAGTGGACTAAGGTCCATCTTCAAACACCAGCGGACTAAGGTCCACCCTCCAACACCAGTTGGAACTAGGATAGATAAGAGTTCGTTCGGATTTTTAACCGGGAGGGTTAGACACCCAGGAACCCAGGAAAGTCAGTGCGTCATCGATTGACTAAATTATTTTCCATTGGGGTCCTTAATCTTGTCCCCCAGGATGCGACCCACACCAGTCGACTAACACCCAGGTACCTATTTGCTGCTAGGTGAACAGGACAATAGGTTGTAAGGTAACGTGTCGATTTCCACCCGCCGGGAATCGAAACCAGGCCCCTCCGTTGTAGTTGAAGCGGGAGTTTTAGCCACCAGGCCACATCCAAAACTGTGGACTAGGATCCACCCTTCCAAAAAGTTGGACTTGGGTCCACCATCCAACACCAGTGGACTAGGATCAACCCTCCAATACCAGAGGACTAGGGTCCATCTCCAACTCCAGTTGACTAGGATCCTCCCTCCAATCCAGTGGACTAGGGTGGTCTCTCTCCAACACATGGACCTAGGGTCCATCTTCTAACACTAGTGGACTAATTTAGACCCTCCAACTACCAGTGGACTAGCCAAAATAGGACTAACGCAATCCATTCCTCAAGACCTGTGGTCTAGGATCCACCCTCCAATACCAGTGGAATCGGGTCCACTCTCCAGCACAGTGGACTTAGGGTTCTTCCTCCGTCCAACGCTCGGATAGCTGGGACTTGGTTCCCACGAACTCCAGGAACAGCTATGGGCGGGTCTTCGCTAGGTAGCTATGGGACTTGCGCCCTCGTAGGACAGCTTTGACTTGCGCCCTCGCTTGGAGTAAGTTGAGGGGCTTGCGCCCTCGCTAGGTAGTCTTTGGATTGCCGCCCTCCGCTAGGATAGCTGTGGGCTTGGGCCCCGCCTTAGGATAGCGGTGGACTCGGGTCCACACCTCGGACAGCCGTGGATTTGGAGTCCCGCTCGGACAGGCTTGTGGACTTGGGTCTCCTCGCTCGGAAATCTGTGGACTTGGGTCCACTCTCGGACAGCCGTGGACTTGGGTCCACTCTCGGACAGCTGTGGACTTGGGTCAACGACCGGAATACAGCTATGGTCTTGCGCCCTCGCTAGGGATTGCTTGGACTTGCGGCCCTCGCTAGGACAAGCTTTGGTCTTGCGCCCTGCTGGGACAGCTTGACTTGGCCTGTAGGATAGCTGTGGACTTGCGCCCTCTGTATGATAGCTGTGGACTTGGGTCCACGACCGGACAGCTGTGGACTTGGGTCCACGCTCGGACAGCTGTGAACTTGCGTCCACCCTTCAGACAGCGGCTGGACTTCGGGTCCACCCTCGGACAGCGTGGATTTGGGTCCAGCTCGGACTAGCTGTGGACGTGGGTTCCACGACCGACCGAACAGCTATGGACTTGCGCCCTCCTAGCTAGGATAGATTACGGGCTTGCAGCCCCTGCTTGGACAGACTTGGACTTGCGCCCTCCGCTAGATAGCTTTGGACTTGCGCCCTCGCTAATATAGGATGTGGTCTTGCGCCCTCGCTAATATAGCTGTGGTCTGGGGTCCACGCTCGCACAGCGTGGATTTGGGGTCCACGCTCGGACTACTGTGGCACATGGGTCCAGCCTCCAACACCTGTGGATAACTAGGGTCCTATCCTCCAACACCAATAGAGTAGGGTCTATCCTCCAACTCCAGTGGACTAGGATGCATCCTCCAAACACTAGACTGGTTCCACCCTTCCAATCCAGTGGGACTAGGGTTACATCCTCCAACACCCAATGACTTGGGTCCATCCTCCAAACGCAGTGGACTAGGGTCCACCCTCCAACCCCAGCGGACTAGGATGGATCCACCCTCAAAAATCGTGTGGACTAGGTCACTCCTAAGGGGACTAGGGTCCATCGGCTAACACCAGTGGTCTAGGACCACCCTCAAAACCAGTCTACTTGGGTCCCATCGCCAGAAGGGAACTAGGATAAACCCCCCAAAACCAGTGGACTACGGTCCACCCTCCAACACCAGTAGACTAGGGTCCATCCACCAAAACAAGTGGACTTTGGGTCCATTTACCAGAAGGCAACTAGGATAAACCCCCCAAAACCAGTGGACTAGGCATCCACACTCCAAAACAGTGGACTAGGGTCCATTCTCCAGAAGGAAACTAGGATAAAACCCCCAAAACCAGTTCACTAGGGTCCACCCTCCAATAACGTGGACTAGGATCCACCCTGCAACACCAGTGGACTAGGATCCACCCTCCAACATCAGTGGACTAAGGTCCATCCTCCAACACCAGTGGACTAGGGTCATCCACCAAACACCAGTGGACTATGGATCCACCCTGCAACACCAGTGGGACTAAGGTTTCGGATTCATCTCCAACACAGTGGACTAGGGTCCACCTCCAACATAAGGGGGTCTAGGATCCACCCTCCAAAAAAGTGGACTTAGGACAATCCCTGCAAACACCAGTGGACTAGGGTCCTCCTCCAATAAAATTAGGGGCACTTGGATCTACCCTCCAAAAGATAAAAAAATAAAATAAACTAAGTGGACTAAGGGTCCACCCTCCAAATAAGGGGACAGGGTCCATCCTCAAACACCAGTGGACTAGGATCCACCCTCTAAAAAAAATAGGGACTAGGATCTACCTCCAAAACTGTGGCTAGGGTCTTCACCCTCCAAACAAGGGTCAAGGGTCCCTCCTCCAACACCAGTGCACTAGGGTCATCTCCAAAAAAAAGTGGACTAGGATCCACCTCTACACAAGTGGAGCTAGGTCCATCCTCAAAGCACCAGTTGACTAGGGTCCACCTCACAAACCTGTGGATAGGATCCACCGCCAACCACTAAGTGGACTAAGGGGCGGCTCAAAACACCAGCGGACTAAGGTCCACCCTCCAACACCAGTGGACTAGGATAAGATAAGATTTCGTTCGGATTTTTAACCCCGGAGGGTTAGCCACCCAGGATAACCCAAGAAAGTCAGTGCGTCATCGATGACTGTCTAACTTATTTCCATTGGGGTCCTTAATCTTGTCCCCCAGGATGCGACCCACACCCAGGTATCTATTTGCTGCTAGGTGAACAGGACAATAGGTGTAAGGAAACGTGTCGGAATTTCCACCCGCCGGGAATCGAACCCAGGCCCTCCGTGTGTGAAGCGGGAGTTTTAGCCACCAGGCCACACTCCAAAACCAGTGGACTAGGATCCACCCTCCAAAAAGTTGGACTAGGGTCCACCATCCAACACCAGTGGACTAGGATCCACCCTCCAATACCAGTGGACTAGGGTCCATCCTCCAACACCAGTTGACTAGGATCCACCCTCCAATACCAGTGGACTAGGGTCCTCTCTCCAACACCAGTGGACTAGGGTCCATCTTCTAACACTAGTGGACTAATTTAGACCCTCCAACACCAGTGGACTAGCCAATAGACTAGCATCCATCCTACAACACCAGTGGACTAGGATCCACCCTCCAATACCAGTGGACTAGGGTCCACTCTCCAGCACCAGTGGACTAGGGTTCATCCTCCAACACCTAGTTACCACCCTCCAACAACCTTGGACTAAGGTCCATCCTCCAACACCTGTGGACTAGGGTCCATCCTCCAACACCAGTGGACTAGGGTCCATCCTCAAACACCAGTGGACTGTAGTCCACGCTCGGACAGTTGTGTACTTGGGGTCCACGCTCGCACAGGTGTGGACTTGGGTTCACACTCGGGGAGCCGTGGATTTGGGTCCACGCTCGGACAGCTGTGGACTTGGGTCCACGCTCGGACAGCTGTGGACTTTGGGTCCCCACGCTCGGACAGCTGTGGTGGACTTGGGTCCACGCTCGGACAGTCTTGTGGACTTGGGTCCACCGCTCGTGGACAGCTGTGGACTGGGTCCCACGCTCAAGACAGCTGTGGACTTGGGTCCACGCTCGGACAGCTGTGGACTTGGGTCCACGCTCGGACAGCTGTGGACTTGGGTCCACGCTCGGACAGCTGTGGACTTGGGTCCACGCTCGGACAGCTGTGACTTTGGGTCCACGACAAAACAGTATGCCGACTTGGGTCTTCGCTTGGATTGCTATGGTCCTTGCGCCCTCGCTAGGACAGCTTTGGACTTGCGCCTCGCTAGGATTGCTGAAAGGACTTGCGCCCTCGCTAGGATAAGCTTTGGACTTGCGCCCTCGATAGGATAGCTGTGGGACTTGGGCCCCGCTAGGATGCTGTGGACTCGGGTCCTCACTCGGACAGCCGTGGAGGAGGTTGGGTTCCACGCTCGGACAGCTGTTGGACTTGGGTCCACGCTCTCGGAAATCTTTGGGAACTTGGGTCCACTCTCGGACAGCCGTGGACTTGGGTCCCACGACCGAACAGCTATGGACTGGGGTCTTCGCTTGGATAGCTATGGACTTGCGCCCTCGCTAGGGGACAGCTTGGACTTCCGCCCTCGCTAGGATAGCTGAGGACTCGCGCCCTAGCTAAGTTTGCTTTACGGGGACTTGCCGCCTCGCTAGGATAAGCTGTGGGACTTGGGCCCCCGCTTAGGATAGCTGTGGACTCAGGGTCCCCGCTAGGAATAGCTGTGGACTCGGGTCACTCTCGTGACAGCCGTGGATTTGGGTCACGCTCGAGTGTGCTGTGGACTTGGCCCTCGCTAAG